ATATATTTGATGACATGAAAGGAAAGAAAGAAATGGTACGGGAGGGAGAGAGAAGGGAGAGGAAGGGAAGGGAAAGAAGGGAAGAGAAGAAGGGAAGATGAGAGATGGAGAGGGGGGAAGAAGGAAGGAGGGAAGTACAGAAAGAAAAGAAGGAGGGAGGGAGGGAGGGAGGGAAAGAACATAGAAGGGAAGAGGAGGGAGGGAAGGGGAGAGTTAAATAGGGAAGAAGGAAAGTAAGGAATGAAGGAGGAGGAAAAGAGGAAGGGGGGAGGAGGGAGGGAGGGGTAATAAACTCTCCAAAGACATATTTCTATATAAGCTTCACCTCATTAATATTTTTTCTCCATTATAATCATTTTTTCTTTTAATTTGTCTTACTTTCTGGCTTTGGGGAAATGTTTTTTTCAAGAGTTAGTTGTCAAATAAAGAATAATTAATTTGTAATTATTTGTTGTGACTTCCCTTTCTCCTTATTTGAATTCTCTTTTAAAGAAGAAAATATCTCCTTGTTTCAAATTTAATTAAATACAACCCTGTCTAAACCACAAATCAGAGTTACAGTTAACAGTTTCTGAAAGAAAACAAACCAAATACAATACTGTTTGTTTTTTTAACAAGCAAATCAAACCTCAGGCTGTGCACAGATGTCTGTACTTCGGTGGCTCCACGTCCAATGTTTGTTCTTAAGTGTCTGTTAGGACCCACCACTGCCTCACCTTCGCTGAGGACATAGTAATCCCGCATCGAGGCAGGCTGCTATGTAGTTTGTATACACATTCTCATTCAATACAACATTGCAAAGTAGACTTTATCGCTATTCCATTTCACAGATAGTCTGACTCAAGTGAGACAAGTTACCTAAGATCCCACCACTGCTATTAAGTAGCCATGGCTGAGCAGAGACTGAATCAAGATGAGTTGATAGGGATTGTATATTCATAATTATTATGAAATCTGTGTAACAATATAAGAAAGCCAGTGCAGATACAATGTATTAGAAATAAATGAAGTCATGCTGCCTGTGTGCTGGGGAAGATAGAGAAAGACGTCATGGTTGGTGTTGATTGCCACGTTGAGAGGATTTGGAATCATCTAGAAGACAAACCTCAAGGCAAAGCTACAAAGGACTATGTTAACCAGGTTAGTTGAGGTGGGAGGAGCCACACTGAGATAGGGAACACCATTCCCTGGCATGGGGCCTGAACTCACAAAAAGGGGGAAGTGAGCCAGCACTAGGGCTCATCGTCCTCTACTTCCTGACTGCAGGTCCCTTTAGGCTGCTGCTGGTTTGACTTCCCACCATGATGGATTATTTGTAGAAACAGAAGACACGGAGTATAAGGAGCTTCAAGAACTCTCTTTGACTGGGCTAAAGGTGCATGGTCAACTGCATATGCCTGCCCTTTCTCTGATGAAAAGGGAACACATTCCCTCTCAAACAGACCCAGGCTGTTACTAGGAAGGGAAGTCAGCACTTGACATCCAGGAAACAAATACTCATGTTGTCTTTAGCCCAGATTCCCACTGATAATGTCCTCAGCAAGTCAAGACAATGCTTCCAAAGTGGTAATGGAAGTTCTTGAAGTTACACAGCCTGTCCAAGTTCGCAGGGCTAGTTAGTAAGAGGCAAGACTGGAGGCCACATGTGCTCTCTTTGGCTGTCCTCTCCAGTAGCCTTCCTATGCCATCCCTCTGAGAAGACACACCTATTGTTCAGCTTCTTTCAGCTACAAATCACTTTATTTGCCCCTTCCATCTAAATCATCTTCCTGGACCACAAGCTGCAGAGGAAGCCTGTATGTCCCTGCCAGATCACCTTTGGACAATGTCACCCTGCCATGAGTCTGTTGAAATGGATCTGTGACATTGATGGGAGAAAAAATACACACACTTGTGTCCTCATTGTTCATTCAATGCTGGCCTCAGTTTGGGGAACTTTGGGAGGTGTAGTAACCAGTGCAGACTGAATACAATGGGAGAATGTTGGATGCCTCTCTGTGTTCCTAGGCACTTCTGGCCTCACTTAAAAGGCCTTTCTGGCTTTGTTTTTGTGATGCTTTCATTCCATCCCTCTGGTTCACAGTCACAGTGAAGCCCGGACACAATTGCACATTGTCTCTGCAGACAGTGTCCATGACATCCTGACCTTGCTTAAGATAGGAGAACCTGAGGATTTTCCTCCCATACATAGGGGAACAAGGCATGATGGGGTGTGCCAATGTTCAATGAAAGGACACTGGCAGCTGTTTTCAGTTCCCTGAAAATGAAGGGGGCATGAGGCTGGAGAGCTGTTTAAAATGAATTCTTTGAATTTACTGTTAGAAAGCAGGCATTAGCAAAGCCTGCCTTCTAACGCCTGAGCACACAGCTGTGTCTTGGTGGGTAGGGAGGAAAGTCTACTCTCGTCCTCAGGTCTCTAATGAGGTTTCTGAGTTTGTCCAGATCCTAGGAGTGTGGCCGGTGGGGGATGAGTACAGATGAGAACATGAATACCCATTTGATACCCATCCACTTGGGGCAGAAATGGCTGCTGGCAGAGGGTTAGTGCCTTCCTGGGTGTTTATCTCAAATGCAGAGTCTCAGGGTTCCAGATGTCCAAGCAGCCCTCTTTGATAAAATACCACCAAGCTCCTAGCACTGAGGTAAAGCTGGAGACAGAAGCTGTGTCTCCAGTAAAAACACATATATCACATGTACAAAAGAAGCTGGAGGCAGTGAGGCTGCTAACATGCCCTTTACCTCCCAAGTGGCAGTCGCTACCTATGTGACATCACCCTATCCATGGCCTCCAGCATGCCACGCGTGCACGCGCACGCACACACACACACACCTATAGTTGGGGAACAACTGTATTGGTGAAATTACTTAGGCCACTCCACATAGTTAAAAGGAGATTTATTTAATGGTGTAACTTACAAATGAAGGGATAGGTAGGTTGAGGGTTCTGGCAAGGATGCAGTGTAGTCCGGCGGTGTTCTCTGGAGAGCTCTGTGGGTCCACCTCTAGTGTCCAGGTTCCCAGCAGCAAGAGAGCACAGCACATCCTGATCTTGGGTCTTCAGGGTCCTCCCTTGGCCCCGCCTTGTAGATGTGACAGTTACCGAAGCCTCAATGGGGGTTGGAACTTCCAGACCAAAGCTGGAATGGCTACCCACTACATCTCACCCTTTTTGTCTAAATAAGAAGGTTCTAACTTAATACAAGACTATATACAAAGGAATGGTTATCAAATATTGTCCAGGAGTAATGA